AAAGAGTGTCCTCTGCTGTTCTTTGTAAGATTATACTCATTGTTCAAGCTATATAGAATGAGGGGGTATTTACATATATACTGCCTAATTCTTTTGGATTTACAAATCTAACAACTAAATTTTGTTTTTTGCAATCACACCAGCCAAAATTTTCATATCACATAAACAATACCACCATTTTAACTTCTCAAAAGTGAAATGCATTTTTGCATGCATAGATAAGGTGGTTTGCATGTTAAAACTAAAATTTAGGTTTATACACGTAAATACATAGAAATTAAGTGGTATGCATGTAAATTTTCCTAGAATGAAACTAAAAACACTGTATTGAATAGATGACATTTTCACATGGCTTAAATCTTCTTAAAATTGTTGTTTAGTTAAATTTGCACTGAAAAACTTATTTCTTTTTTAATATAAGATAATTCCTCCCTTGAGCACTTGTTGTCTTATCATTTTCTAGTTCTCCCTTCAATGCCCATAATCAGTTTGTTTGCATTGTTTATTTTATTCTCTTCAATTTTGTCTCCCCATCTCATCTAATCTTGCTTCATCCAGCTTAACTTTTTACATATATTACCTGTTGAAATTACATCCCTTGAGCAAGCTGGATGGTTGAAGTGGAGGAATGCATTGGGTCGTTTATGTAATAGAAAAGTACCACTTAGACTTAAAGGAAAATTTTATAAGATGGTGGCAAGACCTACAATGCTTTATGGCACAAAATGTTGGCCCTTAAAAGAGAAGCATAAAACTAAGTTAAGTGTTACTGAGATGAGAATGCTTAGGTGGAATGTATTCGTGAAAGAGTTGGTGTAGCTCCAGCGGCAGACAAGATTAGAAAGAGTCGTTTTAGATGGTTTGGTGACATTAAACATCAACCATCTAATGATCTGGTTTGAGAGAATATTTTAGTTTCTACTTATGTTAAGGAAGGTAGAGGTAGACGTAAAAAGTCTTGGGCATGTTATATAAAAAATGTTCCTAATTTATTAGAATTAAATGAAAATTTGACACTCAATAGGACACAATGGAGAAAAATGATGATTGATTCATGTAGCCGACCCCACTTAGTGGGATAAAAACTTCTTGTTGTTCTAGATTTTTTTAGGCTTCTTTTGGATTGTTTGGATAATACGAGGGATAGATCCAAATATAATAGCTACTGCTAATCATGGTTCAAGATGCATTTTTTTTATCATTTCATCATCAAGAAATTTATTATAAATTATCATTGGCATCCATTATGATGGATGTTGGTATTCTAGCATTTTCATTTCTTGCTTAATATCATTTGCATAATTATATGGAAAGATTTACGGCGAACTATCTTGTTATTATGATCATTATAAGCCTATTGCCCATATGAACATAAAACATTTACAACTCAAATGAGGTGAAAACGTAATAATATTAATGAATCTTGATGGGCTTCTTATAGGAACCTTTAAAAAATTAACTATAAGAAAAATATAGCCAATATAAATCCATACAACACAACTAGCTGAATATTTATAAAATGGAAGTCTCGGAAAGCTATGGTGTTTTTCTAGGCTTTATTGTAAATTAATTAAATTTTATTTCATGAATTTGCTATCAATGCTATGGATTCTTTTATTTTTCCTTCTCATTGTAAGTTCATTCCTAATACATTATCAAATGGATCTACTCATCTTATTCCAAAAACTATGTTATATTATGAGATTTTTTGTCTATTAGCAATGGCCTATATTGCTGTTTCTCGGAAATTTACATATATAGCACACAATTCTTATTTATTCACACATCTCGCACCTAAGTTTTAATATTTAGACACATATCACTCAAATATTTAATATCACATCAAAAACAACATTATTACGACTTTTTAAAAGTGAACTATACCTTTTTTATGCATAGGTTTAAAGTACCAAAGTACTATGTAGTAAATATTATGTACCAAAGTACTATGTACTAGTACCACTCAATTATTATGTGTTTACATATCTAATACCCAAACTTCAATTTTTACATGCATACCAGAAAATGTGTATTTCAGTTTTTAGAAGGCAAAGTTTAACTGTTAGCTAAGTAAATTCATGCGAATTGGGTAGTATGCATGTAAATGCCCCAAACTTATACATATATACACATATTTTGTGCGCTCTTGGGTGGCAAGTTGGTAGGCAATTGCGTTGTCAGTCGTAAGTTCCCTTTGACTCGAGTTCGATCCCTACGAAGACATATAACACATATGGGGAGCTGTATTCTCAAATACCACCCTTTATATATATATATATATATATATATATTCATAAAATTTAATTGATACTAACAAGTAAATTTTTGTGAAGGTAAATACATGCGGAAGGCCTCTTTGTCCTGGGTTCGAATCCATTTGGGTTGAATTAAACACATATGGGGTGGACAAACACGTGTTTCCGTCCATCTTTTAAAATATATATTCTTAAAATTTTGCTAATACTAACAAGTAAATATTTGTGAAGGTAAATACATGGGGAAATGTTGTGTATGATGAATATGTTCGCCCGTTGGAATACATTGTTGATTTTCGAACTAAGATCAGCGGGATTCGACCCCGAAACTTGAAAAAAGGTTTGTAGCCAACAATTCATACTGAATTGCTGTATTTCGAGATTGATTCTGAATAAATATCAATTTTTTCTCTTAATCATTGCAATTGATGTTATTGCAGCAAAAGAATTTTCTGCTGTTCAGAAAAAGGTTTCTGAATTGATCAAAGGAAGAATCCTTGTAGGACATGCTTTGCACAATGATTTAAAGGTTATAGTTAGCTAATTATTCTTATATGATAAGGCATTTACATAAATAGGACATAATTCCTATGTATTTATGTATTTGATACCCAAAGTTTGATTTTTATATTTATAACACTCAAATCTTTCATATCACATAAAAAAATTTCACTATTACTAGCTTTTGGAAAGTTAAATACACCTTTTTATGCATCTGTGAAGTGCAAAAAATGTAAAAAATCAAAATTTGGGTGTTGTATATGTAATACATAGGAATTGTGTGGTTTGTGCGTAAATCTTCCTATGAAGTATTATACACATTCTGAATATAATTATCCCAGGTGCTATTATTGAGTCATCCCAGAAGGGATATTAGAGATACTGCAGAATATCAGCCCTTCCTCAGGTATTCCATCTTCTCAAGGCTTTGGTTTGGAGCAACTTTAGCTTTTGATGTTTGGTTCATTTACATACGTACCACCGAATTCTTACGTATTTACATATTTAACACTTGAAACTTTATTTATTACATTTATATCATATAAAAAATATCAGTATCTTAGAAGCTCATTTCTCAATCACTGTTTTAAAAGTGGAAATATGCTTTCTCAAATATTGCTTTTTGAAGCAAATTTATAAAAAAAAAGTCATGAGATGTGAATATTTGTTTTTTGGGAACATTTACATGCATACCGCCTAATTCCTATGCATTTACAGTTTACATATCTAGCATCTAAACTTCACTTTTTACATTTATACCATCCAAATCTTTCATATCACATATTTTCATGCATAGAATTGAACTTTACGTTGTCATATCTGACACAAACTTCAATTTATTTTTTGGTTGAATGCTTTTCCTACCATGACATTTGTTAAAAAGCTGTCCCAAACGAAGCTGAAATACAGAAGCCTTCAATGATTTCTACATGTTTCAGCTTTTACATGGACTGATTTGTAAAACTGAAATTTGTCAGGAAAGGACGCAGGAGAGCTCTCAGAGATCTTGCAGCTGAAATTCTCGGCGTCAAAATTCAGCAAAAGGAGCACTGCTCTGTATGTGAAATCCTACATTTTAAATATCTTTTCAAAGACTTTGATTTCATATTTAATATTCCGGAGCTTAAAAAAAATTTTTTTTTCTTGGATAATTACATGTAGACCACCCGAAACTTGCTATTTACAAATTTAGCACCCAGTTGATTTTTTTTTGAACGCTTGTCATGATCAAACCATTAAGATTTTGATAAAAAAATGAAAAATATGGGTCGAGGTACCATGAATTTTAATATTTGACAGAGAATTTGAAAAATGGATGAAAGAGGGTGATTGATTTGTAAATAGCAAGTTTCGATCGGTCTATATGTAATTTTAAGATTATTGAAGGCTTTGTCTAGCGCCGCCGCCCGCCCCATTTTTCACTCTTCTTTATATTGTTGATCCAAAACTGCATTATGCAATTTTGATCTAAAATAGAGCATAGAAGATGACCATTTTCAATTATAAAAAAGGGTCATTTATATACATACCACCCAATTTCATATATTTACATATATAACATCTAAACTTTACTTTTTTACATTAATACCACCCATAATTTTCACATCACATAAAAAAAAATGCCACAATTTTAACTTTTAAAATGTGAAATACACCTTTTCATTCATAGGTAAGGTGGTGTGTATATAAAAATTGAAGTTTAGTTGTTAGATATATAAACATATAGGACTTGAATGATGTATGTAAATCTTAAAAAAGGGGCATTTACATACACATTTACATACACACCACACAATTCTTATATATTTACATCTTTAACACAAATTTTTTTGTCTACATACGAAACATTCGAATTCTTAACATTACATAAAAAATACCACGCTTAACTCAATAAACGTGAAATGCATATTTTCATGCATGCCCGTGTTATGAATGTAAATATCGAACTTTAGCTCTTACATGTGTAAATACATTAGAATGGTGTGGTATTTATGTAAATTCCTCTTTCAAAAACTATATTCCTAACCTTTATATGGTTTATATAGCCAACTGACTTCCAAAAAGGGGCTTTTACATATAAACAACACAATTCTTCTATATTTACATCTTTAGCACATTTTTTTCTCTACATACATAACACTCAAATTTTTGACATCACATTAAAAATACGTCTAATTTTTCGGTGCGGACTCCTGACGTAGCTCTACATGCCGCGGAGGT